TAATAAAATAAATATTAATATACCCTATATTATTAATAATAGTTGATAAAATTTGCTGAAGCTGAAAATTTGGGTCTCAGTTTAGATCCATAAAACCTACTAAACCCCACTTATACTTGTTTATTATAAATTCTATTCATAAAACTAACCCTAACCCTAAAAAAAAGTCAAAAAAGTGTACCCCTAAAATTTTTAAATTTTCATAATAAAATAGGTCAATTTTTAGCTTCAGCCAATTTCAGCTTCAGCCACCACAATAATTTTTAGATTTATTTAAAATCTTTTTTAATTTTCCTAAAAAACAGATATTAAAATAAAAATTAAAAAATTACACAATAAAAATATGCACTATTGAATTTTCATACAAGTCAATTTACGGTTAGATTCAAATTTGTGTCTATGAAGAATTGTTATCGAATTTAAGTTGTACACACGGTATAAAAGGTTAAAGTTTGAAAAATCAAATTACGTACGTACAGTAACTGTTAATTATAGACATCCAGAACCATATTAAATTTTATTGTATAAAAAATAACTACACTAAATTTTTAACTAAACGATATGATAAAATTATAAATAATATACAAATTTAATAGTTTATTTAAAACTATATGTATTATATATTTAAAAACTGAAAAATTGTCACTTAAAAGGAATTAATTACGTAATCTAAATATATAAAATTTAAAGGATAAAATATTTACTGTTTACAATAGATATTAATAACATGACATATAGTCAAATTTTAATCAACATAATATATATATTTACACCTTTCTCTGAACTTGGTATACTTCATAGTCGATTATCTCAAATTCATCTGAAGAGGTTCGTAACTTTTTCTCGTATACCTGCGGCAGATTCGAAACATTACAAAGACAACGCTTTTGTAGATTAGGCCCAATCATTATTAAATCGTTTCCAAAGGATGGACCAAATTCCAATTCCTAAACAAAAGAAATGGTGGTATTTAATAATCAAATGTCTATAACTTTACGAATGATAACAAATGCATTCGATAATTACCCAGCTCACGGCTTTTGAAACAACATTAACACGACTAAGTATCGCATCTTGAAAGTCGTTACTCGGGAAAGAAAAAATGAAACTATCAGACGTCTTTCCCCATACACAATCGACGCGTTTCCATTCGATTGGATTATAACCTAAATCGGAGATTAAATCCATTAAATCCAGAATTAGAATTCAAGTAGTTTATTAATGATTAAAATAAAATAATTATGTCTAAAAATAAAAATGTACCTCCAAGAATTTCATCAGAGCCTTTAATTTTCATAACAGAAACAGTGTTTTTTATGCCATCACATTGATTATGAAAATTTATTGCTAAAAAGCCATCCCGATTTCCTCGAAAAAGTAAACGGAATTCATAAGGATTTTCATTAATATCATAAGGCTTAAAATGCAAAGAATCTTTATCCTTTTTATCTATCCAGCTAGCGATATAAGAAGCATGTTTAGCAGTGAGAATTTTTGATTCGATGTTTGGCCCAAGTCGTGGACCCAAAATTTTATAAGTAGGTCGAACACTATCCATATAAAAATAATTTTTCAAATCAACGTAAACCTTTGCTTGCGAAATTTTCAAAAGTTTTCTATATGGTAGCAAATGAGTACGATAATTTTTTGCAGAAAATTGAAAGAACCGAACTAAAGGTAGACAATCCTTAAGTGTTTTTGCCAATGATTCGACATCGTCAAGACTCCATAATGATGGATCAGATTTCATTGAAGGGTTTTTATCAAGACCCCATTTTAACAAATAGTTCCAAAGTTCAACTTCGTCTATTTTTATATCGTCCCGAATAAGAATTTCGCGTAATAATTTTTCAGGAAGACTCGTAAAGTCGGCAGCCAAGAAAACTACCTCAGGGGAGTTTTTGACGGTATGAGCGCAGAACGCACGTAGTTGTTCAAAGGTGTCATATTTATTACTCACATGATAAATATGAGCGAAATGCTCGTTTAACCAGTTACCATGCTGCTCAATAATGAAAGATTGTATGCTGTTAACGAGATCAAGGGAAAGTTTTTCAGCTCCAAGTAATAAGTCCAGGACTTCCGATCCAGATCTATGGCCTAGGTTGACCCTTCCACTGTAGAAATAACTTTAGTGCAAAAATATAAATATCTTAGTGAAAAAGAGATACCATAGTTATATAACTGTACTACAAAAATATTATTTACAATTTACCTGAGCAAGTCTTCGAAGATCTCACCTGAAATGTCTGGGAGCTCAATATTCTCGTTATCATTACCATCGGACAAGAGTTCCCGAAAATATTGGGAACGAGAGTAAAGAATAAATCTGTGCGACCGGAACGTTCTCGCGTTAGGCGTTCCTTGTTCGGTCGTTATCGTAATGTCCGTGTATCTCTTTTCGCTGAAAGAGGTCAATAGATCTTCACCAAGGGTCTGATAAAGTTGTGCCGACATTTTTTATGAGCAGTTAAAAAAAATCGCAGGCCAAAGAAAGAGTTCTGTTTTTGTTGACGGGATGAAGATATTTTTCTATTATATAACATTATCACGAGATACCGGATAAGCTGTTAACTACACCGATACGTTATCGTTATTACATTTACGTACACAATTAAACTTTTGTGCTAAATGTATCATGTTTTATGTCATACCTACGTTGATATACATGAAAACAAAGCCTGTTTGATCTAGAAAATGGTATTGAGACAAAATCCACCTAACCTTATATTATGGGTCTTTTTTATATATAAGTCTTTAATCGATGAATATTTTGACAATGCACATGAAATTTTTAATTACGTATTAGTTTCGTGAAATATTAATATGTAGAATATATATTTATAAAATCCTTATCGCCATGAATAGTAAACATTTTCTATTTACAGTACCCAGGGTATTATTCAAGAACTCCATTTTTAAAATTGAATAGCGATAGTACCCGTGGGTACTGGTGAAGAACCGGGTACTATATTTGAGGACATATCATATTAAAAGTAGCAAGCCAGTAAGGGGTATTATTTTGGGGGGATACTGTAGGCAATGGCTAACGGTACCTATTCGAAAATATGAGTAACACCAAGAATTTTCTAATTCTTTCATGGAATCTAGGTCGTATGCTCATGGAATGCATCCTCCTTAAAATTTCTAATTTCGAAAATTCTCATTTGGCTGTGTAATCGGAAATCGGATCTAGAATGTTTTGTAGAAAATTCTTACGTACGTACGTACGTACGTACGTACGGTGCACGCACTCTATAACAGTCGACAAGATGTCACGCAGATCAGGGGGGTAAATTTTTTACTATGAAATTTGAGTGATCGACACTTATATGAAATTCTCGATTTTCATAGTAAATTACAACGGTAGGCCATTTTCAATCGTCGTTTTCAGG